AAAATTATTCCCTCTTTGGGTGTTTTTTTAAACCTAAAATGTCTTTTTTCAGTTTTTTTTTTTTTTTTTTTTTTTTTTGCATGTTTTGGACCTACATTGCAACCAAATTAAGCTTATTGAAACATGTAAACAGACAATCAACCACTATATTTGTGGTTGTATGACTTAAAATTGTACATTTTAATACCTGAAATGCTTGAATGTAGGCCACATTATGCATTTTTTTTTTGTTTTGGTACTAATCAGATGATCTGTTCTCTAAAAAGCTATTCAAGTATATGAAAACGTGTGCTACTTTTCTAGACTCCCAAGGCTCTGTTACCTTATAGACTCACAGTTGCCATGTGTTCTTTTTTATTTGTTCAGTTTTATTTCAGTAAGTGTAGAAGATGTCACAGAAGAATAATTGACACTCAGCATCATCCCTCAGCTGGAAAATTGAGCCATGGCAGCTTTTAATCAAGTGTAAAACTGACTCTGCAGGTTTAAAATGTGACCCACTAAAACAAAAATATCAACAGAAACTACCTGCAATTTCTTCATAATAAAGAATTTAGTCTCATAAAAGTACTGAGTCGAGATATTAATTAGCAAAAATATAAACAAATACAGAAAATAAAGGTTTCAAAGTATCATGACACTGATCAATTTAAATAAGGAGTGTAAAAGCATAATATTTTGGTAACATTTCATTTATAGGAATTGGCAGAGGCACCAATAACTGTGGCAACTGGGTTTTCCGGTCATAATGGTCAAATTTTTATGAATTTATCAAACTGAGATTTTGCTTCTGCAATAAAAACTGTGTTTATTTTAAGGCTTTTGATGCGTCTTTGTCACAAGTGCCAGAAAATGTGGAGGCTGTGTTTGTATATCAGTCATCAGGCATTTGTGTAAATGTGTTACTTTACCGAACCATTCTCCTCCTGCACTGCAAGGTAACCATCGACTTGGAGCTCCACCTCAGCAAGAAGACTGAGTTCAAATCTTCAGGAAGACCTTTGGCAAAATACGATGTCTACCTCTACAGGGTGCCAAAAGTCAAACCCCGCGTTCTAAACGGGCCAAGCACTAAGACTGCAAATGGACCCAGCAGAACAAGGGCCAGAGTTATAAGGTGGGAAGATGACTTGTACCCACCTTCTCCTCGTTGTTCCGTTTGCAGCCCAGTAAGTACTCGCTCACTGCCAGCCTCTGTGTTCAAAGAGCTCCAGCAGACTAAACCTTTGACTATATACCCCTACAAACTCTGACAAACGGACTAGCTCTACCTCCCCAACGTGGCAGGTTAGTAAAATGTTTTCTGACTGTGTTTGGTGTTGGACTTTAACATAAAGAAGAAAAGAAGCTGCAATGATTCTGGACAACTTAGAGCTAGCCATAAAATCAGGACGTATGTCGAGACCCTTGAACAGGACCAAAACAGGATTCTGGTAATTACTGGCACCACACACAGCTCAAGCTACAGCACATTGCAAACACGCAGACTGGTGTGCCATCAAGTGCAGCTCATCTGACTCTTTCTACATGAATGCCTGTTTTCCTTTAAATGAACTATTCTTAAGAGTGCAAATTGTTGTTTTATACAGGTTCCTCCAAAGATGCAAGACAACTGTTGTTTTCTTACGTATGTTTTATGAATAAATGAACATAAAATGAAAATACTTTTGTGAGATTCTGATTTTATTTTAGTCGCACCACTACAGGGTTATCGTGAACAATCAGTTCAAGGTCTTCAAGCCTTTCTTCACAGAAGAAAGCAGTTGTCTCCCTTACCTACAAGGCTTTTACACTTGAAACCAAAAGTATCATTTTTAAATTTTATTTTATTATTTCATTTATTTTATTTTCAAGCAATTCTCTAACATGGAGCATCAGAGAACTGTCATAAAATAATAATGTCCATAGTCTTATCTTTAAGATGGCAATATGTTAAAAACATGAACATAAAAAGATAAATTAACAAGTTGTGATAATCATGATCATAACGTGACTCAGTGGTGATTTATTGGAAATGTCCATAGTCTATGATAAGCATCGCATTTCATTTAATTACATTTTCTCTTCCGCTATTTCAAAGCTACACACTGCCATCTGCTGATTGAACACATTGCTTTGCCTTTTGCTGTTACCTATTATAATCGGTAGGTGACGCTGTCCAAAAACTGAACTAGAGAGGGAAAACAAAGAAGCTGCAATACGTCTTCAAAGATCGTCTATGAAAATAGAACGTTGGTAACCGCTCTGTCAATGGGCCAGGATTGCTCTTAATTTTCTAAAATCAAATGTTAGTAAAGAGAACTTTTCCACACAAAACGCAAGAAAAGCAATATATATTAAATAACATGGTAAATAAAGAATTATAAAGAAAAAAGTTGTATTCTTAACGGATGTTGTTGGTTGATTTAGTACAAATCTGTATTGGGTCACTGTCAGTTATCGCCAAGATATTATAGAAAATGTAATATAGAAAAAAAGAATTACATACGTTTGATTTAAATGTAATTATTGACTAAATTTGTTGAATTTATAACTGCTTTCACGACCTTTCAAGACTACACTTGTCAAACTCCTGATTTGGTGATTAAAGAAATTTAGGGAGTGAGCAGTCCTGTTTGTAATAAACACATCTTTGACTCACAAGCTCTCCAACGTTATTTCTCTCAGTGTGGCAAGATAAGCTTTCAAATACTTACATGAAAGCGTGTTTTTAACCAATGAATTAAAGAGTAGACATTTATTTTCGTCTCTTAAGCAAATCGTTATACTATAAAAGTTTGACATAGTTTTCCAAACCGCTTAGTTTGTGTTGTGTGTTGTATATTTAGTTTAGCTGAGTGGGTTAGCAATGTTTACAGAACTCAACAGTATCCTCAACACGTCTCCTGACTCTTTCACACAGGTAAGAGCTAACCTTCTGCCTTGGATTTAACCCTAATGTTAATATTTTAGTTATATTAGTAATGAGTGGTATTTTATAAATATTTGGTATTTATGCCCAGACGTCAGGGAAAATATTGCTGTTGTGTTTGTACTTGCATCCTGTCTTAATGTAGTCACACTTCTGTTCGACAGGGAGAATTTATTCTAGTCTCTGACAGACAGAGTGACGCATCGTTTCTTATTCATCACTTCCTTTCTTTCTACCTACGAGGTGAGTTATAAAAATCCACCAACAATAAAAACAACAAAAAAAAAGTGTTTTAATTTAAATGTTATTTTAATAAAATGTCTGTTTTCTGATTTAGCGCGATGCAAAGTGTGTTTTCTGGGGTTGGCGCAGTCATTTTGCCACTACGGTGCAGTGAGTCAAAGACTGGTGAGAGCTTGCCTCCCTTCTATGTTTTATTCTGGGCAGAAGCAAAAAATTGCACATTTAGAAAATGACAGGAATGGCTGTTTGTTTATTCCTTATTTTGTATGAATTTTTACCCACAGGGTGTCAGTTTAACACAAGCAAAGGAGAAAGGCCAGCTGGTTTTCTTTGAGGGATTGAAGGAGTGCCTGTCTGTTCTGCTTCCAAAGGAAAACAATGTGGAAAGCGGAGCTATGAACTTTCTCAGGTACAGACAAATAGCTCTTTATTATAAAATCCAATTATATAGTTAGACCAGTTCTGATTATAAATACAGTAAAATAACATCCAGTCAATTTTCTAAAGTCAGTTTGGAGCAAAGTGTCAATGTGAGGAAGATCAATTGATTGTGTCAACCGATTGGGCGCATTATGAGCACACAACTTTGGGCCAGCAATTATTTTATGAAAACAAACTATAATGCAGTTTTGTCTAATAAAGAGAGCAAATAGAGTTTCACTGAACCATGAGTACTTTGTATAGGATAAGAAAAGAAGAATATGCATAGTTATTGGTGCAACAGTTTTGTTATACTAATTATGTTCTTGTATGCAGTCATCATTACCTTTAATCCTTAATTCACCACTTTTTCACTTTAGGGACCCCCCTGTCGGCCTGAGGAGTCTGTATGAGTTTGTTCGCTCCAGCATGATTGGCTCAGGCAGCATGGAGGAAGGAGCAGAACAATGGGGGCCGAATGTGCTGCTGGTGGACGACCTCAGCGTACTGCTGAGTCTGGGCGTCGACGTTGGAGCCGTTTTGGACTTCAGCCATTACTGCAGAGCTTTAGTTTGCTCCCAAATGCAGGTGTGACCTCATATTAAAAAGAAGAATTTTGTCTGCTGTCACTACTTTGATATATTTGTGATAGTGGTAGCTTTAATGGATGACTTATTGTAGCTCTGTGACTACAGGGGAACATGGTGATGCTGGTTCGCTGTAACAAAGAAGAGGATGATGATGATGATGGAGATGAAGGATCCGAGGTTCTACTGAAGGGTCTGACCCACCAGTGTAATCTTAATCTTCATGTACAGGGTCTCCCCACGGGCTACTGCAAGGACATACATGGCCAGGTGTGTGACTGAGGAGAGTTTTCAATTCTTTCATGTTTGTGTTGGTTGAGTAGTGCTTTTTCTATGTCTGTTTTAGAAAAAAAAATACATATATATATATATATATATATATATATATATATATATATATATATATATATATATAAATTAACATAAATATCTTATTGTGATTTTTACTGTTAATTGACATTTCTTCTTATAAAACCCCATTAAAGTGATGAAAATCCATGGCACTATTAAGAACAGAATGGGAAAATAAATTATTCCCCATTTCTACATGCCTCTCTCTGTTTTTCGTTGCTCTGTGCTTAAAGCCTGACCTCTTTAGAAATATCCTCATTAAAGCAATATTTGGCCTTTGTATGTATAATTTCAAGAAGTCTGAACATGTCACCAGTCAGAACTAAAGAAAAGAACCTGAATATTTACCTCAAGAACCCTTTGGTTCCTGCATTGTTACACATACATAAATAGTTTAATGTCAAATATTTTTGACTGAGCTGTGCAACAAACTGAGTTCTCCTTGTTTTCCAGATGGAAGTTTGTTGGAAGAGGAGACAAGGCGATGCACCACACATGCAGAAAAACCTCTTTCAATACAAAGTTCATGATAAAGGAGCTTCCTTTTTTGCCCGTGGGACGTCCAGTGCTGTTCTTTAACTCCACGTTTAGTTTTTCTCACATGGATGTTTCAAAATCAGGAGATATAGATTTGACTGATGTTCATACTCTAAATTTGCCTGATCTGTGATCTATAATCATTGTCCTTGTCTGGAGGATGTGATCTGTGATATTCAGTTACTTCCTGATTCCAGGTGACTATTTATTGGATCTATTACCTGTTTATATTCATGTCAATGTTTAATTAGTAGGATACATTTAATTTTTATGTTGGTAGGGTTTGCAAACATGCACCTTTCTTGAAGTTCAGAAACAATCTCATCACTTCTTAATACTTTTCTTTCAAAGCACAAACTTTTTTTTTCTTTTAAAGTAGAATTAAGCAGCTGTTCTCTAGTTTGTTTTTTTTTCCACTAATTTATACCCCAATATCTTTTCTTGTTAAGCCCTCTGTCTTGACTTTTTGAAAGGAAACACGTAACTCAGAAGTAATCAATTAGTATTTTTATAGCAGTGAGGCTAATCCAGGGGTGTCAAACTCAATTTCACCGAGGGCCACTTCAGCATATTGGCCCCCCTCAA